TTAGAATATTGAAATCTTCCTGCAAGATGGTCCCAAAGCTCAATGTCTTGAAAATATATTCAATACTATTTAGTTTGTGCGGCCAGCAAAGTAACATTTATCTTGTTGTCTATCACTGTTTTACTAAGTGCATTAATTATACACACAATGTACATTTTTATTCTCCATGGATAACAAAACAAATTCAGGATGCCCAATACATAATGCATCAGGGTAATTAAAGAGAAAAAGAATCCATTACACAAAGAATACACACAAGTAGGATTAATGTTTCTTATGGGAAACATTTGTTATAGCAAGTCTCAAATTAACACAAGGTTAATCTGTTGAGGTCTGGCATAGGTAGATGACATTAGAGCCAACAGTGGTTGGGATCATCTTCTTTCCTCTTTTTTCTGCCACACTTTCTCTCTCTCTCTCAATCTCTCCCTCCTGATCCTGTAGGCTGTTGGAAGAGAGACACATTGTTCTTGCTGGAAACATGGGTCTCGATCTTCTCTGCGTCTTTCCTCAATTTTCAGGCACTGGCAAAATGGAGTCTAATGGAGACCATCCCACAACACACAGCCACTTCTGGTGGTTGCCCATAGGAATCCATCCTGCCAGTGCCTGAAAATGGTGCTTTCAGGAGCTGACTCCTAATTAGAGAATTGGGAGGAAGCGGGGAAAGGACAGGAAAATGACACGGGATGGGAGGCCATCCCAAAAGACAGGGAAAGACAGTAGGGAACAAAGGAGGGTGGTTTTCTCCACTTTCCCCCTGCTCTTCTGAGGAGGTCCATGGACTGATAGCTCAGAGTGGGGTTTTGAAATTAAGCATAAAATGGACTACATGTTGCCTACTTTTTCCTTACTCCATGGAAGAAGTCAAATATTTAACAAAATGCTAACTGAAAGACAAAATCCTCATTCATTTCAAAAACCATCACATAACTTTATGCAAAACATGTGCTCTCTTACTGAAGTGCGATCATTTCTCTCCACAAGAAAATGAAATGTATATTGGAGCAGTGAGGGGAAGCCATATAACTTTTGTTGCCTGCGTGAAAGATTTAAAAATCCACATTGCCAGCGTTCTAGCACTTTTGAAATCAACTTTAGGAACATGAAGCAAACTAATCTCAAATGAGATTCCATCTGAATATGAGGAAGAACTTCCTGACTGTGAGAACCGTTCAGCAGTGGAACTCTCTGCCCTGGAGTGTGGTGGAGGCTCCTTCTTTGGAAGCTTTTAAACAGAGGCTGGATGGCCATCTGTCAGGGGTGATTTGAATGCAATATTCCTGCTTCTTGGCAGGGGGTTGGACTGGATGGCCAATGAGGTCTCTTCCAACTCTTTGATTCTATGATTCTATGATTATGACATAACTTTTATTTTATGGAGATGCTGTTTGATACATGAGCTAACATTCCATAGTTTTTACTCAATGTTAGGTCATCTTCATCCTTCTTATCCTCATGATTCCTCTACTTCTGCTGTTCAGGTTTTGAATGTCATTGTTTATAGGACTAAGACAGCATTATCTTGCACCAACATGCTTGGGCCAAAATCTTGTATTTTATCCAAAAATATAACATGCTAACTAAAAATAGAACAAGTTATTTGAGGTTTTAGCCAAAAATATAACCTGTCATTTTTATGGTTATTCTGTCTTCTTTCCTTGATACTTTATAAGAAATAAATAACATTATTTATGAACTATTCTGGATTGTGTGTTTCCAACAAAAATGTGGATCCAACTCCCTTGATTTGTCCTTCCCACTCACACCACATAATCTCCTACAGTGATATGGTAAAACCTAAACCATTTCCCCCCTTTCTTTTGAAGCAAAATATGAGATGTGCTAGTTACAGGGGGCTTCTTAACAAGTTTAAAAATATTCCACCACAGGAGAGTTGCACAGGCAATCCATGCTTGCAGACAAGTCTTGTTTACAAGTCCATCAGCATTCCAGGAGGGCTTTGCAAAGTGCTCTTAACCTTGCCAAGAAGCTGTGCATGAACCACTTTGATTGAACAGTGTTTTAAAGGGGGAGACATAAGGTTTTTTTGCAGATAGCAAGGGGACACTCAGCTACAGCCTACATGAGTGTTGGTAGGGATTTGGTTCCTGAAACCCCCCAAACCTCCCAAAAGTACTTTGAAAAGGCAAGTTAGGATGGCTAGAAATGGTCAATAATTCCCTTTCACCAACCTTGTGTTTTGGGAATAATGATTACATTGTTTCTTGGGAGAATAAAAAATAAGAATGTTAGGTTGTTATAGTGAGGGTGTCAGACATATAGTCAAAACATATTTAATAAACTGAGTAATGAAATCCCTTTCAACTTGTTACTTTCAAGTTGTGGTGTTGGACTCCAAGGTTTGAAGAAGTGGAAGGAAGGAAGGAAGCCGTAAGCATGCAGATGGGAAAAAAGTAGTACAATGAAAACTGAGCATGCTCAGCTCCATGGAATGGTGTATGATTGGTGGGAGAACCTGGGGAGGAGGTAGGTGTAATGAAATGGAGAATCTCAAATCCCAAGTAGGAAAGCTCAATATTACAATGCTTTCTTGCTGATCCAATTAATTCTTATCCAAGCATTTCACTCATTAGTAGAATCTGGGATGTATTGTTCAGAAAAGCATAAGGCGTGTCAGTTCAATGAGACTATGACACTTTCATGAATATCAGTGATTATGGATTCTCATGCAAATGAAAAACATTTTAATTCTTTCCGTTTTTATTCATACATGAATTCCAAATGCATTTTATTTCATAGTGGAAGAGATTCTTGTTGACCTATAATACTCTGATAACTTTGCTTGGGCAATTTTGTCATCTAACCTTGATTGAACATGTAATTATAGTTGAAATAACTTCCACTTATTCAATTCAAAGTAATATTTTTGGGGTTATGCATTTTTAGAATTAAGGAGAATTTTGGCAATTATTCTGACTATTGTAAACTGCTTAAGCTATGGCCAGTTTTCAGAAATACATAAATACATACATCCTAGTTCGCTTCCTAATATTTCTTACCTGTCTGGTTTCCAGACACCATAACACTACATATCAATAATCTACTCATTTTATATTTAGTTAACATCTTCCATCCAATTTTTGTCGCGAGGTAAACATAGTTAATACTGAAACTGTCACCTCATCACTATACTCACAAGCTTTGCATTTCTATGGCGGCATGGTCCTTCTATATATGTCCATTCCTAGATACTTTATTCAATGCTTCAGAAGAAGTAGACTAAGTCTATGAAAGCTTGTGCTGCCAACTTCATTCTCTCAGTTTGTCTCAAAGGTGTTATAAGATCCTTGTACATATTGATATTCCTGACTAACAGAGCTATGTCTTTGATTTCTTAGCAATAGGGTTCTTAGTGATTCTTTGTGCCTCATCCCTTATTCATTTTACGTGCAAATGTGCACCAGCAGAAAAATGAACTGCATTATAAAATTGCATTTGCAGCAAAATGTATACAAACACATTTGATTTTTGTTTATTGAATTTCAATTATAAAGTGCACGCGTTTGCTTGTGCAGAAGAATTCCTACCTTAAATACAGAACACAGTTCTTTCCTGATTCGGAAATACCCTGCACGACTGGTATAGCTCCCATATTTCACAATGAAAATTATGGAGACAAGCAAAGTGATGTCCTGGTTCAGATAAGTACTATTTGGCTCCTCTAGTGCCCTGTACAACTTGTAAGAGCTATTGGGAATTCCTTGGACATTTTGAATGTCTCATCCAAGTTGCCTGAACAATCAAATAAGCACATACTTCAAACCAGACATTTCTTCTTTGGTGCTTTAAGTTGCTATGAAACAGTACTGGTAGTGTTCACTTTCTCACAAAAGAAAAGAAATCAAGGATTTATAGAAGTCCTCATCTTTTAAAATACTCTCCCTGATATATATTCTGATAATTGAAAATATTATTTCAGCATATCAACTAGAATGCTTCCTTGGTGCCAAGAATGTCTTTAAGAAATCTCTCATGTCTAGAGACTACCAATGTCCTATTTGGACAGAAGCACCCACACGCCTGCCAAATCTTCCATCATTTAAGTGAGAGGGATTTTTGAGATTTGTTTTCTGCAGCTGGTCTAAATAATCACTTACTACAGGACAACTCCCCCGGGCTTGGTTAATGAGGCATTTGGGCAAAGCAAACCATAAAGAGGTATTTTTAACAAGAAATAGTGAAATATGGATACATGAAAGGCAAAAATAAAAGTGGGTAGGACATCAAATAATGTTTCAACCAAGAATTCTACATCACGATTCGGCCTATTTCCTTTACATATATTTAGGCTGTAAAATCCATCAAACATAATAACACATAGAATTCTTTGAACTAAATCCAATATTACTCCAACTTGAGTAGACTCACTCAAATCAATGGGACTTATACAAGTGGTGACTAATATAGCTCATTGTTTTAGTGGATCAAGTCTAGTTGGGATCAATGTCTACCTAATGCAACTCGTTCATTCATTTAATTCATAAATCACATTTCAGTATATATATTTTAGCATCTAAAGTGCATTTTGAAAAAGGAAAACATTCAAAATGAACACAGCATAGGGAACTATTAAAATATGTAAGTGTGCTGAGAAAAGCATGAATTAACCACACATAAAATATTATCAAGTAAAAGACCTAATAGAAGGTTCCAGGATGAAAGTTAACAGTGTCTTGCATTTCCATCAACTACACTTCTTTTGGTGCTAAACCATGGAATAAAACATCTAAATATGATTATAATTGATAGTATGATCAATTATAGCTCTTACAGACCACAACCTGCACCTTTGGCATTAGATCTTTCATTATGAATCAGAACTTATGGAGAGAAGAATCAGTGAGCAGAACCTCAATAATACAAAAGCAGCATTTCATCCAATATCATTTAACTTTTTAGATTTGCATATTTAATAACCAGCATTTTCACACATCATTTAGATTTAAATAGACAAAAATAATCACAGCGTTAGTTACTTGCTGAAGCTTCCAGTTTGCGTTTATGGGGTGGGTCTTCAATTATTCTGTTAATATCACCACGGTTCTTTAGATCCACAGGTTTCTCCCACACTGACAACTGCATTGTAGGGTTGAAGAAGAAGACTCGGTCATCTCCAGTCCAGACTATACACCTATTTTAATTAACAAACTAGGCTTAGAGAATCTCAAATGCAACAGGAAAGAAGAGATACTATTTGCATTACTAATTCATTCTTTCAAAAACAAAGGTGGGAAATGTTTGGTCCTGAGGTTGTAATTCTTCATATATTTCATCCCCACATATAAAAAAGGAGGGATTTTAAAAGTTTTCTTCCCACTGGATGAGATTATGACACTTTTCACCATCTTGGACTTCCAGACATTTCTTTTGTTTTGTTTCCCCAAACATAACTTTGAATAAAAACTAATGATTCCACCTCCCCCCTCCCCCCCCCAGATTTTATTTATTTATTTATTTGCAGTAGATGCAAAATGCTGTCATGTTGACTATTTTATAGTGGGATGCCATTAAGAGCAAAGACTCCCTTTTTCACTGAAGACATTTGGGTCCATTTGCAATGCTTATGGGCTTGCTGGAAGTTGAAATACAAAAAAACATAGAGCAGGGTTGGGCAACCTTGATGGGTCTATATTTTCACCTGGAGCACCTATCACTACATGCATCAAGTCTAAAAATATGAAAATATATCACTAATGAACAACAATGAAAAGACTTGAAGTTTCCCTCTCATTTTTAAAAAAGGTTTGAGGTAGATGCCCTTGTTTCCTGACTGTGCCCAGATCATTTCTTATGGAGGCTTCCAGGATCAGGCTTTTCCCAAAGCCTTCCATAATTAATCATTGACTCATATTTAATATCATGCTAGTGGATGCATGAAAATTGTGTCAGAAATATTTTATGGCTTTATCCTCTGGAGCCAGGTATGGGGAACATAAGGTGCTTCAGAGACCATCTCTCCTGATTTTGCTGACTTTGAATTGTTTGCTGTATCCCTAATGGAAATGGCAATTCTATCACTGAATTTAATTTATTTTGGCTATTATATTCAATTTTAAAAACATTCACCTGTTATTGTAATAACTTATCAATATGCTATTATAGAGATTACAGTTTCATTTTGACAAAATCTTTGACTCTGAAGGACTGCTTATAAAACAGTAGTTGAAGATCAAACTCTAGAAAAAGATATACAGGTCTCAAGGTGAAAATTCATTTATTTTCCCCTCATTTTATTATTCATTTTATTTATTTATTTCGAATATTTGTACCCTGCCCTTCTCAACCCCCTGGGGGGACTCAGGGTGGCTTCCAATTGGCAGTAATTCGATGCCTCAATATATACATAATAAAAACAAACAGTCAATAATTATAAATAGTTTAAAACATTAAAACAATACAATTAAAATCTACTAACAATTACCACTCTGGTGGCTATTTTTAGCCAAAAACTGTGGTTGGATGCTCCATCAAACTTATCCATAATCCATTTCCAATTGCCAACATTGTTATTGTCATTGGGTTCACCAAACCTTTGAGGAACAGCAGGATGTTCATGCCAGAAACACACTTCAGTGGCTTCACATTCATTGGCAATGTGAGTGAGTCCTTATGTTCATGTGTAAAAGCTCTTTCATGTAAGTGAGAACCTGAGTTAACCATGGCGAATTCTCAATGGGTAACTTTAAATGTTGTGCTCTTACACAATGATAGACAATGTATAGTGCACTCATGTGCTTCTTCTGCCCAATGGTACTGTAAAGCACAGTTAGCATAGTTTGCAGTGATGTAGAAGGGACTGGGAGATACATATAAATAAAACAAATTAAAGAAGTGTAAGTGAATGTACTTCCCATGTATTACCTAGTATTAGTAAATAAATGAGAATTTGTACATGAGATGGAATATTAGAGATAATCTCTCTTGCCTTGAAGCATGTCCTTCATTCATTCGGATTTTCCCCATGTAACCTATAGGCTAAGGTCCAAGGAAAATACTCCACATGCCATATATGTTATATTACACACAAGCTTTTAATAAAGCCACTGAATATTTGTCTAGATTCTGCTTGTGAATCTCCAAATAAACTAAATGCAATATTTAAAGTAAAATTAAAAAACCCACCTTTTGGTTCTTTTAAAAAACATTTATACAACAGAAATTATTTTGCATTTAAACCCAGAAAGTAAACCCCCAAATTACTTGAGGATTTGAACTATGAAGATAAACAAGTATTTTTGAAGGCTTTCATGGCCAGAATCACTGGGTTGTTGTAGGTTTTTCGGGCTGTATGGCCATGTTTTAGAAAGTCCAGGATGGGAGAAAAAACTCTTGTCTATTGGAGATAGGTAGTTTCCTAGTTTCCAACAGACCTTACAACCTCTGAGGATGCCTGCCATAGATGCAGGCAAAATGTCAGGAGAGAATGCTTCTAGAACATGGCCATACAGCCCGAAAAACCTACAACAACCAAGATAAACAAGTATTTTTAAAGGAGTCTAGACTGAATGTTACTTTCAAGTGGTGCAGGATCCCCATAGAAGTGAAAAACACCCTGCCAAACTCCTTTCCTGAACAATCTCATCCCATACCTCATTTTCTGACTTTCTAATATTAGCACCACAATGCATTCAGATTTTCCAAGTCCCTCCACCTCCAAGGAACTCAGTACTGAAGTCAATTTTAACAGAAACTGGCAGCAGCAGCAGTTTATTCTACTTGCTGCTGCTGTTCCTCCTCCTCTTCTCTCCTGTTGGCAGGAAAGGAGATGGAGAAGAAAAAGGTGGAAGGAATATCAAGTTGTTGAGCAACAAATAATAAAAACCACAGAAGTAAAATCCATGAAAGTTGAGGGCTGACTATAGCTCCACTTTCTTCTATATCTGATAGAAGAAAGTAAGTGAATAACTGCGTGATGACTTACATATTTAAAAAGAGCAAGGAGACAAATTAGCCGCTCTGAGTCCCCTTCGAGGTACAAATGAAGTAAATAATAAATAAATAAATAATTCCAAAAATGAAATCATAGATCATATAATCAATTACAAATAATGAAATTACTGCAAAGCATTGGAAACAATGAGAGAAATCTGCTATAGTTTTCAAAATGTCAAATTATTATTATTATTATTATTATTATTATTATTATTTGAAACACAACAAGATGAGTCCACAGCAAACAAGATCACTCTGCTGGCTGTTGAATTGGATCACACGTCGGACACTTCCCAAGTGTCTAGGACTGTGTGATGTATCGGTGAATAATGTGTGCAGATCCCAGTAGGGTGGCCTTTTGCAGCTGGCAGATGGTAATCTTGTCAGTGCCGATTGTGTTTAAGTGCAGGCCAAGGTCTTTAGGCAGTGCACCCAGTGTGTCGATCACCACTGGAACCACCTTTACTGGTTTGTGCCAGAGTCTTTGCAGTTCGATCTTTAAATCCTCATATCATGTCGGTTTTTCCAGTTGTTTCTCTTGTATTATTATTATTATTATTATTATTATTATTATTATTATTATTATATTTTAGGTATCTATGTTTCCTTATAATTATTGCAGTACTTGCTTAAGGAAAGCATTACAATTTCTTTGACTTTCAGGGATATGATTCTTCTTAATTTGAACACCAGCACTGTTAATCACCACAGAAACTATAATCGCATCACTGAGCAGGTTTTTGGCTCACTGTAGATCATACTGAAGTGGATAGAAAGCTTAAGGAGCAGGAAACCAAAATATCATAAATATGAGAGCCATAGAACCATATACATTAAGGAGCCAGCCGTGGTGCAAGAGCAGGAAAATAAATCAGTATTTAATTGATTTAACTAAAGATTAAACTGACTGCCTTGAGATTATATTATATATAATATTGAGATTATATGAAGCAAATAGGCTCAAACATCATATACAAGCTGACAGTCACCAAGGAATACATAAGCACTGCTATTAGTTATGTCAGTAAGAATCAAAGGCATAAGAGTTCAGTGACAGCTTTCTAAGAATTTCCCCTTCCGTCAGTTAAGAACTGAGCAATCACTGTGATTTCGTCATTCTAGTTTCCTCCCAAGTTTCTATTAGCTGTGATGTGTGTCTAAAATGATACAGAATTTTTATCTGTCTTACTCCTCAGTGTATGGACACTTCACAGAAGCCACAATTTAGGATTCTTTTCATATAGGTTATGGCACTATGGTTCCAATTTAACTGGCATTGTTCCAGGCTAGGTTTTGTAGTTTGGTGAAGCCCTGAAGTTTTCTGGTTATACATTCTACTTACTTTCCAATTTAAGTGGAATCATAGTACTATATACTGTATATCAAAGCCCCCATAACAGTGGAGCCAATCTCCATAATTTCACTTATCTTCACCCAGGGCAGAGAGGATGCACTAGAGTTAGTGATGTGCTAGAGTTAGTAATTCACTAAGTCAGTGTTTCTTAACCTGGGGGCTGGGACCCCGGGGGGGGGGGGTCATGAAGAAATGTCAGAGGGGTCACCAATGACCATTAGAAAACACAGGTTTTTTTTGTTGGTCATGGGGGTTCTGTGTGGGAAGTTTGGCCCAATTCAATTGTTGGTGGGGTTCAGAATGTTCTTTGATTGTAGGTGAATCTAAATATAAATATCAGAAACGTCAACTCCCAAATGTCAGGCTCTATTTTCCCCAAACTCCACCCATGGCTATATTGAGTATCCAGTTTGGTCCAGACCCATCATTGTTTGAGTCCACAGTGCTCTCTGGATGTAGGTGAACTACAATTTCCAAATTCAAGGACAATGCCTACCAGGCTCTTCCAGTATTTTCTGTTGGCCATGAGAGTTCTACGTCACAAGTTTGGTCCAATTCCATCACTGGTGGAGTTCAAAATGCCCTTTGATTGTAAGTGAAATATACATCCCAGCAACTACAACTTCCAAATGGGAAAATCAATCCCCCCTCCCAACCCCACCAGTATTCAAATTTAGATGTATCGGGTATTTGTACCAAATTTGGTCCAGTGAATGAATGATTCGGAATAGTAGCAAAATTACAGTTATGAACTTTATGGTTGGGGGTCATCAGAACATTAGGAACTGTATTAAGGGGTTGCAGCATTAGGAAGGTTGAGAACCATTGCACTAAGTTATCCATAA